CAAAGGAAGAGGCAAAGTGAAAAGGTTTAAGGTCGGGGACCTGATTCTAAAAACCTGCCTACACATGCAGCCTCCGCTATCTTCAGGACGAAGCTTCGTCCACGGTTTATCGGGTCGTTTAAGGTTGTGGCCAAACGGGGCCTGGCGTACACGCTTCCGAAACAAATGCGCACCCACCCGGTGTTTTACGTGGGCTTGCTCAAGCCGTACCGGGATCCGGTGCTAGTGAACGTGGAAGCGATGGCGCCGGAGCGGATCCCACGGTCCCGCGGCCACCTAGAAGCTGAACCAGCAACTGGTTCTGAGTATAGAGTGCAACAACCTCCATTTCTTTATAACGGCGCCAATCGCTCCACCGTCGCGCGCAGCGACGCATTCTCCTGCTCCACGGCTAGGAGTCGCCCCGACAGAGCGCGGTAGTCAACGCGAGGCAGCCGGCGCACGACGTGCTTCAAATCCGAAAGAGAGTCCGCAAAGCAATATGCAACTTTAGCATGACGCTCAGCGGAGCTCCGATCATGACGGACTACGTCCTCAAGGGTTCGAAGAGCATCACGAGTCACCGATGGCGGTCGACCCGTTTGTCACTGCCCACCACCGACTAATCTCGATGAGAACGGTGACGTCGACTATCACGTGGAATGTCTAGTATGACGACGTTGTCACCAAGGTCAGACTCAATATCTGGTGAAGTGGCGGGGATATCCCGACTCTGAAAACTCGTGGGAGTTTGAGGCGCCACTTCGGCAAGATTGCCCAGTCGCCGTGGACGCTTTTGATCGGAACGATCGGGACGTCCCGCGTCATCAGACGCCCCGCGCTTCCCGGCAATAGCCAGAGAAATAGAAGGACCGTGATCTGAGCTCAAGCAGTGGTCCTGAGCTCTTGCGGTTGAAGACACAGAGCTCGCGGGAGCATTAGCGGTTGCTAACCCATACGTTGCGAAGGAAGTCGACGGCGTGGCTTGATTTTGGCAAACTCAAAGCGGAGGTGTCGCTCCACACGCTCGTCCACTTCCTTGTGGCTCAACTGTAAGTTATACAGTGAGGAAAGCTCCCGGTGCCGTTGCACCCATCGCTCAAAGAGCGCTTCGTCATCTGTAGCACTTTCGCCAGGGGCGAGCACTATAGGTATTGTTCGCATTGCGGGTACACGAGAGCCACCTCGTTGAGCACTCAGAC